GATAGGCTACTGCGCGATTCATTGCTCAACCGACACAGGAGAGAGATTGATGGACAGTCAAAGTGGGTTAATTATGGATCAGTTGGTCAGCAACACAAAAATAACTATCACTTTGATGGAAAGTTGGAAAATGGAAGTGGTTCTCAAAATTCTTCGATTAGTACAGGATCCGTAACGAATCAGGATAATAATTCTTACTCAAATATTGATCAGGCCGCTAACGTTTATCTTGTTCTGCCTCATTGGTATAATATCGCAAATCAACAGACACCCTCCGCCGTCCACGGAAGTTTGGGAACTCATCTTACACAGCCGAGACGTCGAGCAGTACGAGAAAAAATAGATCAATTGAAAAGAACTTGTACAGAAATATATGACGGAGTAACAGAAATAGAGAGAGCAAATGATCGAGGCTTAGACCGTAACCGTGAAAAGACTATTCAAGAGGAATCGAACAAGTCATTAAAGTTAAATATTTTGTACCACAAATGTAAAACGTTAATGGATAGACTTAGAAACCAAGAAGTACGTCTTAGTCAGTTTAACGATGAAACTCTGCCTATGCATGATATTTTTGACGCAGATTTAGCTCACTTAAGAACGATGTTAGAGAATGCGAATTTAAAGTTAATATCTTTACAGGCCAGTTAAAATAGTTAAGTTTTGTATATTATGTGTGTATAAATATCACTGTCGAATATAAAATTATACTAAAATTTTGTTTTATTTAAGCTTATTACCTAAGTGTCCTAATTATTGATGATTAAATCTCAGTCCTACTATAGCCTTTCCGGGTCAAAAAATTTAGTCTGTTTTATGATTAATAAAATGTTAATATTTTTCATTCAATTTAATTTTATTCTGTGTATCTATTTTATAAGAGAATTTAATCTGTTTTTGCCCATATTATTCACAATTCAGACCAATTTCAGATCATTTTTAATGTTATAATAAAATTGTTTTCTATTGTTTCAAGACCAAAATCAGACTTTTTTCGTCACAATCATTTAGCTGGTTCTGATCGCATCAAGGTCAAAAACAGACCAAAACGTTCTATAATTTTTAGACGGTTTTTCATCGCCTGTAGATCAAAAACCGACCTTTTACGAATTTGATAATAATAATAATATTAATAATAATAATAATAATAATAATAATAATATATTTATTTATTATTATTTTATTCATGTCCTCGAAGATCCTCTACAGGGCACGGCTTTTCATTCTCTGAAACTGAAATAGTGACCATTCACTATTTCGTAGTGCAATGTATACCAAATGGTACTCTTCGCACTACCAAATAGTGGATACCGCTCATTGAATGATGCGTGAAAGTATAAAATTTAACATTAATCTTGTCAACATTTCAATCTTGTCTCGATGTATTCACATTGTGTTTAATAACGATAATTAGAAAACTCTAGATTTAGATCCATAATTAAACGATGAGAACTATTTTATAAACGTATATTAATACAAATTTATTAGTTATCACTGCAACTAATATTCGCAGTTACAAAACTTTCATAATCCATGAAATGTTGAGCTAAGACAAATAAATATGACAGATGTAAGGTTATAATCGACGTTCAGTTTATAAAACAAGAGAGCGCATGAATATATTATAAATTAATTTATTTTTTTAAATAAATGCGACTTATAATTTTTAATGAGATACTTTTAAGTCCAAAAAATTATAAATCACCATCTTAGTCGACTTTTGGCCTTCGAACATTTAGAGTGAAAATTGTAGATCAAAAACAGTATAAGATTTCATATTGAATTTGAAAACAATACATTAAGTCCATCTACAAATTAACTAGACTAAAAACCGATCAAACTTTTAAAACTTTTTAGTTTCATTAGATTAGAAACAGCATAAAATATTCATAGTTGCTCAATTATTTTACTAAAAGGTTATTTAGACTTAAAACAGATCAAAAATAATTTTAATAGTAGATGAAATACCGATAAAAATGTTTTTTAAAGTTCAAATACAGATCAATAAGTTCAAATGCAGATCATTTAGCTTAAAATCAGTTTAAATTTTTCGACTCGGGTAACTCACGAACGAATCAACCGATTTTGACCGGACTGGCGGCGATTGACGTATAGTTTTTTATGTTAAGAGCTGATTAGTTTTTGAAATTGATCGGTAGAGCCGTTTAAAAGTTATTCCAAAAAAACCACATTTAAAAATATGTTTTTTTGTAGTTTTTTTGCGATTTCTCGAAATCTACCGGTCTGAATCGTTCCAAAGTATATTCAAAATCTAAGTTTAGTGAAACCCTTTCGAATAGCATCAACCGCGATCAAATCGGTCAAGCCGTTCAAAAGTTATGAGAGGTTTACATACATCCACACACACACACACACTCGTGTGGTTGTCGCGACTATCGCAACTCGCCTACGGCTCGTAGCGACCTCTGCCACACTCGTCTTCATACGAATGCCCCATAAACCTTACGCTCATGTCGCAACAACACGACTGTCCGATTATTTGCTACTTATCCCACATGTAGCATAAATAACTATTTTTTTCTTCTATATATAGATCAAATTTAGATATAATTGACAGACAGTATAGATAAATTAAGTAAAGAATTTTTGACTTTTTATAATTTTCGTTTTTTAAAGCCCTGTAACTTTTTTCCTATGCATTTTAGCGAAAAAATGAAAGAGACGTTTTTTGACTATTCACAATGAAAATACAGAAAAAAGTTTTTTTTCAATGTATGTTAAATGGGAAAGGGGACCCATCTCATGCGCCAGCTTAATTTTCAAGATATCAAGCTCATCTTTTAGGAGGTTTTATTTGGTCTAACAAAGAAATTTTTTAGATGTATTTACTCAAAAAAAAAAGTTTTTTTATTCTGACGCAGTCTAATGTATATAGTTCATCTTCTAGCGTAAGAAATTGATTTGACCTAACTTAATGGTTCTGGATTCTACATACAATATCAAGTTTATAAATAGTAAAAAATTTCAGCAGTATTTTATTCAAAAAAATACAAAAGATAATATGAAATATATATAAAATAAATACACTTGTTATAAATTTATGACTATACATTTATTGGTGTATCCTGAAGTACATACAATAAAATTGTTATAAGCACTTCAAAGCCTGTCAGGGTGATAGCTGCACTGAAATCAAAAAATAAGATTTCGCATAATTTTATAAAAAAAGTAAAAGTTGATTTTTAGCTGACATTAAATTTTCAAAAAAATCATTACCAGCCCTAAAATTTTGTTAATTAAATTACTTACTAGTTTTATCATACAAAATTTTCTTCTTATTGATTGCCTGTCTTCTATTGACATAGCAATTAACGCAATGAAGAGAATGATCATCAATTTGATAATATTAATTGACATTGTTTCACTATCTTGAAAAACTATTTAAATAAAAAATATATAGTATTATTAAATATGAAAGAAATTATAATAAAATATAGTGTAATAGAAATGAAAAAATCATTAAAATATACCAAAAAAAAGTTTGGAAAATCCAAAAGTGCACGACTCATAATGCTCATTTAATTATGAAATAATAATAAAATAAAAGAATGTGAAAAAACAATATATATAACAACTGAAATAAGATAATAATACGCAGGCGCCTCTAGTGGAATAGATGTACACAATATATATAGACACACAATCGTTTGATTTTCTTATATTATTAATATATTGCAAGTAAACGATACTGAGCTACTTAGCCATTTGCATTCGTTAACCTACAATATCGCGAAATGTTTGAAATATAAATTACTTTAACAATTTACAATAATAACTTTTTGTCTTTTTCACTTGACTTTGAAAATTAGCAATGTTATATATATATATATTTTTTTATTAAAAAATCAATGAGCATTACAAGTCGTGCACTTTAAGGTATTTGAATGATTTTTAAACATATTCTTAACATTTTATAAATTAAAGTATCCAGAATTTAGTTTAGAAAAATTTAAATAAAATATTTGTAGGAATTCCGACAACTTAAAAATTTTAATTATTTGAAAATTGTTATAGTTTTAAATATTTTTTAACACAAACAGCAAAATTCGTGATAGAAATTGAGAAAAAAAAATTGAAAGTGTATTTTCCGTAAATCACTTTCATAGTTTTACGAGAGTTAATTTTTATAGAGAAGAAGTAATCTAATTACTAAATATATTCTTTTGATCTTTTTAAATATGAATAGAAACAATAATTTTACCAGATAAATATTATTGTATACACGAAATGCGAATAGTAAGTAAACAAACCTGGGTAATGTCTTCAACCTGTACGTTTTGCAATTGATAAACTCTTATCACAAGAGGCGGTATTTATACCGCACGGTTCTAGTAATTATAAGTTAATATAAATAGATAATTTTATCTCTTTTTACTACTTCAAATATTTCATCAGCATGTAGTAAAAAGTTATACGATCTATTCTTTACATCTAAAATAATAATTTCATTTAAAAGAACGCCAACAGATTAGGTCAGATTTTTTTTAACTATAAAAAGGATTTCTATTATGATTAGTAGATTAACGCGTAAATGAACAATATTTGAGATGTAATGACACCAAATGTTTATTATGCTAACGTGATTGTTGGATAAATAAAGAATTGTTATGAACTTCCTCGAAAGATTAACGATGTGTACGTAATATAACTTTACTTACTTTATTTTACTTGGAAATTTAAAGTAATAAGTAAAATATCTAACTACAAATGCCAATTAGAAAGTCGATTTATTGATTAAATTTTAAAATTTTAGAGATAAGCGAATTTACTTGGAAGTAAATACAAAATTTAATTTTTCACTGGTAAGGAAACAATCGATAGTTAAACTCTGTTATTAGTCGTTGCATGACTGACGAAAAACAAACTTGAATAAAAGTATCATATCAGCAAAGAACAATTTAGAAAAAAAATTCCATGGGTTACTCGTCATTTGGCTAATACTTGTCAGATAGTGAGCAAGTGAATTAACTACACAGTGAATGTTGCTTAAAATATTAATCAGTAGCATTTTCAGTTTGCTATTCTTCCTTCATTTTCTTCATGGGTTCGACATAAAAGTGTCTTCAAAAGAAGAGAACTTGCAAGTTCACTTAACGGTAAGTTACCAAATGTAGTTTGGAGTTTTTTCAATTTAATTTTCATTGACACACCTTCAAATTTTCAGACGAATCTGATGAAACAATGTTATCCTACCGTGAAATCAAGTTATCTGATCACAGACTCACAAGAAAATTCACTATACATGAATTTCTACACCGTGGTTGGAACAATAACCCTTTTCGAGCAATCAAAAAACTTCACCAGCAATCTCAAGAAAAAATCACCGATTTCTTCAGTGATCATGTCATTGAGATCATCTTCAAAACTCGAGGAAGCTCTTATCGACGCAAAATGGCGGGCCTTCAACCAGTTCTTCATAATACTGGATGGGGGTGACACTAACAATGGCTGCGACAATGCGAAGTCTTTTTTGATGGAGGCTTGGAGAAACGATATTCTCAAAGCTGTTTTCCTGTGCTGGAACTATCAAAAACAAATTCCTCAACTCTACAGTTTTAACCCGTTCAACCGTTATGCACCAATGTCCTGGGAAAAAGTTGCAGTAGTACCGGCAATTAATGGCCATCCGTGGACCTTGTTTGTTCAGAACTACGATACAGGTAAGTATATCTCTTCTTAATCGACTAACGATGCTTAGGATGACCTTTCTTAAAAATTTCAGGCATTGCAACATGCGAAAGTCTCTTTTTTGACAGGACTAGTGATCTTGGAAGATACATAATCAAATTTGGTTTGTTCAACCTTCCTCCTTTTCTGTCTTACAAAAATATAAGTGGAGTAGCGACTATCAATGGGTATAATTACGAAATCATAAAACTTCTCGTTAAAGAATTAAACGCAACGTTAGTTATTGATGAAGTAGCAGCTGTCTTGGGACGTTTCGACAATGCAACTACCAGAGGATTGCTATGGCGAGTGGCCAAAGGAAAAGTTGACTTGACAATGAATTCACTCATCCTAAGAGCTGTTTCTAAAAGCGCGGAGATAACGTACCCATTTCATGGCGCTGGGCTTTCTGCAATATCGCAAAACCGACTGTCACCTGGGCATGATAGTCAGTTATTTTCGTTTCTCCCACCATCTATATTTGCATTACTATTTATCACTTGTATTTTGGTGTTCTTCTTGTTGCTGTACCTCTTCAAAGACCCCTATTCGAGGAACGTCGTAGCTATTGTCCTTCTTTTATTGAATTTGCCGACCCCTTCAACACCAATTACCACCAACGGAAGGATCATTTTTGGCGCAACGTTGCTTGGCTTCACAATTACCAACGTTATAATACAAGCAAAAATGGACACCGTGATGTCGATCCTAAATACTGAGCAAAATATCGAAAACATTGAAGACATCAATAATTTGAACTATACTGTGCTTACTCGCCGCGGGATTTTATCTCAAACATTAGAAGCTAATGGCGTTACTAACATCAAGCTGGTTCCGCACTACATAAGCTGTTCTCAGCTAGAAAGACATGAAGCATTTGTTGGGGTAGAGTATATTCTTCGGACACATCTCACTGATACTTGTCATATGTCAAAGCATCCAATCGTACCAGGATTATTTGTTTCTTACTATACGCGCAGCAATTGGCCGATTTATCCTAAAATAAACAAGAAGTTATTGATGTTGTTTGAAGGAGACTTGACGCGTTATATATCTGACAAGGTTTTGAGGGAGTATTACGTACCTAACTTTCAAGAAGTAGAACGTTATCAAGTGATAACGTTGCAGCACATGGAATATGCGTTTTATTTTTTTGTTGGTAGCAGTTTGATGTCATTGATTGTTTTTTTCGTAGAGTTGGTTATAACTATAGCTTAATTAAACTGTTATTTTTTATTGGATATCTGATCGTATATGATTAGATATGATTGTGTACGACGATATATATTTGAATATAACTCTGACCATATTAGAAATTTAGGAATAATTATACAAATTCCTCCATACTTCATAATTTCATGAAAGTGTAGTGTTAGAAATAGACATAAATAAATAAATATATGGTCCTGGTAGTTAACCAATATAGACCAGTGTTATGTTCTCAATTTTTAGGATTTAATGCATCATAATAATTTTTTTTTCACATCTAAGATTTTTTTTTCTAAATTTTCAAGTTCTCACTTTACAAATAAATGATTTAAAAAAAAAATCGGGAAGTCATTGGTTCCAAGCCAGTTTTCGAAAATCAAGTTCTAATCTGATCTCCACATTTTTAAGGTCCTAAGAAGTAGCTCTTAATACTCCTACGAAG